GATAATAGTAAAGTTTGTAGTCATGTTAGTTAAGATTTTCTAGATGTGCGTAGATATATTTTAGATAGACATTCTTCATGTCTTTCAAAGATTACAGAATAGGACATTTAATATTTTAATAACTGAGGACTTTTCATGACAATGAGACACTCTGCTCCTGGCAGCACCAATCTACTTCAAGAGGAAGATGGGCATCGAAGAGGATGCTTATGGAGTTTGATAGCCATTTGGGCAAGAAACTGTTCTTACCTGGACTATTGCATAAACTGGACACAGAGAACCCACAGAGAAAGGACTACTGAACTTGCCTAAGGTGAGATGATCTTTTGGGGTTCCTGATTCATGAAAGAGTCTGCGAGACATTCTGCAGGACACAACAGATAGAGACTGAACCGACTTTGAATTTTCCTGCTTTATGGAAATGTCTGCTGGATACCATGGGCCTGAAGGCTGAAGATGGATGCCCCAACAGTACAGAGGAACCTTGGGTGACTGTCCAGGCAGCAAGATGTCTCTGTCATGTCTAGAGTTTTAAAAGTTGCTTTTTTCTTGTTTGCTTAGGTAGTATTGTATCTTTCTGGAGTCTTTGATGGAGTTAAGAATAGTTAGTTATAGTTATAGTTTTCCTTAGTTATGATAAAGATTATTGTAACTTTTACTTGATAACTGTTTTGTTATATGTAATTTTGCTATGTTAAAGCCTTTTTTTGTTTAAACCGAAAAAAGGGGAAATGATGGAGGAAGGTCATTGGCTAATAAAGGAACTGCCCTGGCCCATTTTATTGGTTAGGACATAGGTAGGTGGAGTAAACAGAACAAAACGCTGGGAGGAAGAGGAAGTGAGGTTAGACTCCACAGCTCTGCTCTCCTCCTGGGAGCAGACGCCTGAGAGAGACGCCATGCTCCCGGCTCCTAGGCAGACACACGCCATGAAGCAAGCCGCCAGGTTAGACATGCTGAACCTTTCCCGGTAAGACCGGTGCTCACAGATTATTAGAGATGGGTTGATCGGGATGTGAGAATTAGCCTGTAAGTGCTACAGCTAAAGGGCCAAGCAGTGCTTAAAAAAATACAGTGTCTGTGTAATTATTTTGGGGCATAAGCTAGCCGAGCAGGCGGCCGGGGTGCTGGGAACGCAGCCCCGCTGCCCCTATTACCACAAACAAGGCTTCCCCGTGGCCTGGCCCTCAGAGCTTCTGGCTGGGACGAAGCGGTGGCTAGGACCACTAGTGAGAGTGTGAAGAGACACAGACACGTTGCCATAGCCACCTAGGGAAACATGGGAAGGGGGCACACACATACGCATGCTGGCATGTTCATGCACCTCAGATATCACCAGCGACTCCTGTTGGGAACTGACCCTTGGAGGGCAATGATTCATTATTCCTGGAGGCTCAGCTCTCCCCTTACACACAGTGGCTCTTGTGTATTTAAGGTCAGTACTCCATACACAGAGCCTCCAAGACGTCTTCAGATCAAGGGTCACTTTCTTCTTTGTAAATTTATTTAACTCTATTTTATGTGCATTGGTGTGAAGGTGTCAGATCCCCTGGAACTGGAGTTACAGATAGTTGTGAGCTGTCATGTGGGTGCTGGGAATTGAACCCAGGTCCTTTGAAAGAGAAGTCAATGCTCTTAACCACTGAGCCATCACTCCAGCCAGCCCCAAGTGTCACTTTTTTCCATACTGCAAAAACCTTTAAGGTTCCAAGGGAAGCTATGTTAAAACTAAAAGACCCAAATGACCTATTCATTTATTTTATTATTATTTTGTTTGCTTGTTTTTCTTTTTTTTTTTATGGTGAAAAAGTGTATATTTAGAATTAACCGGCTGGGCTCAGTTTAGATTATTCCAATCTTGTTGGCAACATCCAGAGCATCATAATCAGGAGCCAACCGAACATACGCCTTCTTCTCTCCATCGGGCCTTATGAGGGTGTTGACTTTGGCCACATCGATGTCATAGAGTTTCTTCACAGCCTGTTTGATCTGGTGCTTGTTGGCCTTGACGTTCACAATGAACACAAGTGTGTTGTTGTCTTCTATCTTCTTCATGGCTGACTCGGTGGTCAGGGGGAATTTGATGATGGCATAGTGGTCAAGCTTGTTCCTCCTGGGCGCGCTCTTCCGGGGGTATTTAGGCTGCCTTCGTAGCCGCAGGGTCTTGGGACGCCGAAAGGTGGGCGATGTGCGGATCTTCTTCTTTTTGTGGCTGTGGACGCCTTTCAGCACTGCCTTCTTGGCTTTCAAGGCCTTCACTTTAGCTTCCGCTTTGGGAGGGGCAGGAGCTTCCTTCTTCTTTCATCAAGAGCCATCTTGACGAACAGGGTGGCCTATTCTCGTTCTGTTTGCTTGTTTTTCAAGACAGGGTTTCTCTGTGTAACCCTGGTTGTCCTGGAACTCACTTTGTATACCAGACTAGCCTTGAACTCAGAGATCACCTGCCTTTGCTTTTCAGCCACTGGGATTAAAAGTGTACGTCATCACTACCTGGTGAAAGTTTTTTAAATAGATATATAAATGCAAAAGTCCAAAGACTTTCAAAATGAAGAGCGTGGCAACCCTCTCCCAGCTCCCCATCTCTCAGAGTTCTTTCCAGTTGTTTCTCATATCTGCCAGGTTAAGAGAGAGGGGCACATGACAGCTTCTCTGACCAGAGACAGGAAATCTAACTGGTTCTATGTGAGTGTGAAGGGGCCTTGGACTCCCAGGCTTTACCCCCTCTCCAACAGTGAAGGAGTTTTCTTTCTCCTTGGGGCAGGCATTTAGGTCACATAACAGGGTGCCTAAAATGTCCTGCAGTCCCTGAAGAGGGAGGCAAAAAGGATAAGGGCATATTTGGGTGAGCTCTGTGGAGAGCATGGGTCTCCTGGGGACCCAGGCTGTGAGGCCACATCCATAGAGAGATCGCAAGATTTCCTAATGTGCTTGCTCCCTACAGGTGACAGAAAGTGACCCTGAGCCCAATGCTTGATTCTCTCAGTTCCGGATCTGCCTAATGTCCTTCCTCCAGCTTTGTCTCTTTTGTCAGGGCCTTGACTGTCTCTGCCCCCGCCTCCCAGCACCCTGGGCTTGGCTGGTTTCTCAGAGAATACAACAGTGAGGCTGAGGGGTATCTGCTGGTTACCTGATGGGGGTAAGCAGGGACCATGGGTCATCCTCGCTATTGTTCCTGCCATCGGATGGCTTAGCTTGATTCTCCCTATTCTTTTCCCTCGACTACTTCAGACCAAGTCTGTGACACATGCTTGCTGCTCACCGGCCTAAGACAGGCCACTTTCTGCTTCTTGCTCTATGCTTATTCTATTCCCTTTGCCCCAAACATCTCTCTCTTTAAGCCTCAACTCGATGACACCATCGAGTGGCCTTAGCGAGCGACTCTGTGACCCCGTGGAACTTTTCCTTTGTCGGGGCTGCCTTCACCCCTGCCCCTCTGTTGGAGTAAGCGCTCTGTAGAAAACAGAGAGTCAAGCGGATCTGCAGATCTCCAGAGCCCCCGCTGAGAGTCACTCACTAACGTGTTTATGATGGTGGCCCAGACTGGAGCGACCTCAGGGTCTAAAGTGTGATCCAGAGTGACCCAGACTTCCAGAGACGACACGCGTGCCTGGCAGTGAGGATCCGGTGTCTGTGTCGTGCAACCTTGCCCTTCTCAGATCACAGCTCCTCCTACATTCTTATCCAGTGCCAGGCAGGTTGCAGGGCAGGCGACTCCCCACCGCCGAGAAAACCGGTGACACTCTGCCTGGGACAAGCGCTGGGACAGCCATGTCTGGCTGGCACAGACCTAGGCAGCTATCTTCTGAGTAGCGTTTTCACCCCATGGCTTTACCACACCTACCAGATCGCACTAGAGAGCAGACTCTAAGTAGAGAGAGAAGGCGGAGGGCACCCTTACTGTCTTTCCTCCCTCCCCTCCTCTCTACTGGCTGCAGCGGCTCCGCGTGATGTGGAACTGAGCGCAGTCTTAATTACCGCTCAGCCCTGCTCATTAGTACCTCTGGAAGCCAAAGAAGCTCCGAGTCAGGAAGCTTCCACCGTTGCAAAGACCAGGGCCTTCAGCCCTCTGAGCCCCAGTAGCCACAAGGAGAGACACAGTTCTATTCGACGCGGAGCCGGCATGGGGGAGGGGCCGGAGCTCAGGGGAGGGCAGGGGAAGCTTCGGCTCCCCTCGCGGGCTCTCACTCAAGCGTGCTGAGCATTTCAGGGGCAGCATATGGTGAAACTCCACTGTGATCATAGAGAGACGAACAAATGATTAAATAAACCAAACGCACTCGGAGCCAGCGCACTGATGACTTACCTCCCTCAGAGGACACAAACGTGGAGCGTGGTGTGTTCAACATGCCCCCCCCCCTTTTTTTTTCTATTGTGAAATGAAATGAACGAGCAGAAGGAAGCTAGGAGGAGGAGAGAAGGATGGACCCCAGAAATGATAAACTCGTGGGTCTGATTTCAATATCTAGCAAACATCCTTCACAGAGAGCAACTTGTAAACACCCTCGAAGATCAAATGAGATAACGCGTATGAAAAGCACCTTTTGAACTATAAAGGGCTCTAGAAATGTAAGATGTTATTCTGTTATCAGGGCCGACGATGAGACAGATGCTGCGGGGAGCCTGAAGATTTATGATAATGGCTCATTACCCACAAGGTACTCACACAATTTGAGCTGTTTCATTTAATTAGTCATTGCCTCTCTCGTAGACGACTGCAGAAGCAGTCTACGCGGTCTCCCCACCTCTGCCTTCACCCCCCAGCCCCGCGGAGCCATTCATCTTGCATGGCACTGCCAGGTTAATCTTCCTGATGCATAGCTCTGCTCAGATACGATCCTGCAAGGTTTCTCTTGCTGACTGCACAGAGCCCAGAGTCCGGGGCTTTGCTGTCCAGAGCCTTCATTGAGGCAGAGCGAGGATCCGCTTACTCCAAGCACACGGATCCCACGGGGCAGATGATGAAGCTGAGCCCTCCCACCGAGTGCCAGATTCTGAGCCATTGTTCGGTCTAGCATATTGTCTTCTGATTTTGATACTGTATTTGTGTCTTACTAAAATTTATATGTTGGATGCTAATCCCATCATGATGCTGATCCAAAGTAATTTACTTCAGGGAAGTGATTAGTGGTGAGTCTGGAGCCTTTTTGAATGGGATTAGTGAGCGCCCCTGTAAGAGCAGGCCTGAGGACCAGCTATCTCTCTTCACCGTGAGAGGATACAAGGAGAAAATGACACTCGAACCCAGGAGACAGCCCTCCCCAGAGTCAGCCTCTGCCTCCACACTCACGTCAGACTCCTAGCCTCCAGAACCATGAAGAATAAATGCAGTTGTTTAAACCTGCAGTTTATGGTGTTTTGTTATAACAGCCGAGACAGACTAAAACAAATGGACAGAGCTGCCACAAAGATCTTCCCACGCAGGCCTTTCCTTCTTTCTCGGAAAAGTCAAGAGGACCAGTTCCCGAGAATGTGATTACTTGATCTGAAGGCAGCAAAATTTTCTTTTTTCTTACCAAACTGGGAAGCAAACCCAGGACCTCAGGACACGCTAGACAAGGGCATCGAGCTGCACCACAGCCCCAGCATCCATGTTTTTAACAGCTAGATAAATTGGCATAATGCTTCACAAAAAGGTTGATTTCTTTTTAGCCAGTAATATAAATACATGCAAACTTCATGAGACACTCCGCTCTGTAGTGAGACAGCTATGAAGAAATTGTGAATTGGATAAAGGTTTTTATTTTCCTTTTTCTTTTCTTTTCTTTTTATTTATTTATTTTTTTGTTTTTTGAGACAGGGTTTCTCTGTAGCTTTTGGAACCTGTCCTGGAACTAGCTCTTGTAGACCAGGTTGGCATCGAACTCACAGAGATCCGCTTGTCTCTGCCTTCTGAGTGCTGGGATTAAAGATGTGTGCCACCACCACCCGGCTAAGGGTTTTATTTTCATTTCTTTGACTGTTGAGGTGAGGCATTTTCTTTTTATTCATTTTTTTTTCATTTTACACACCAACTCTTGTTCCTCCCTTCCCTTGTCCTACCACCCCACTTCCCCCCTACTCATGCCCCGTCCACTCCTCAGAAGGAGGAAGGCCTCCCATGGGAAGTCAACCAAGTCTGTCACATCACTTGAGGCAGGACCAAGACCCTCTCTCCTGTGCCTAGGATGAGCAAACTATCCCACCACAGGGAATGGGCTCTAAAGAGCCAGTTCATAAGTCCTGGTCCCACTGTCAGGGCTCTCCCCAAACAGTTGATCAGGCCACACAACTGTGACCCACATTCAGAGGACCTACTTCGGTCCCGTGCAGGGTCCCCAGCTGTCAGTCCAGAGTCCATGAGCTCCCACTAGTTCAGGTCAGCTGTCTCTGTAGTTTTCCCCATCATGTTCTTGACCCTCCCCACTTTGCTCCCTCTCTTCAGCTGAACGCCAGGAGCCAGGCGAGACTTTTTCTTAATATATATATGTATACTCACAGAGATCCACCTGCCTCTGCCTCCTGAGTGCTGGGATTAAAGGCGCCACCACTGCTCAGCTATGTTTCTTTTCTTTTTTATTTATTTGCTTATTTTGGAGTCAGGCTTTCTTTTGCAACTCTGGCTGTCCAGGAACTTGCTCTGCAGACCAGACTGGCCTCTGCCTTCTAAGTGCTAGAATTAAAGGTGTGTGCCACCACTACCCAGCCTATCTGCATGTCTAAGAGAAACAAAAGCAAATAATACACGACCTGTACTCTGTTATCTTGGATACCATTTCCATTGACTGTGTCGATACCCAGATGTGTTCCACGCTGAGAGAACTCAGTGACCACCCACAAAACAAACTTGCAAAGAGGTATTTATTTCACAAAAGGAGTTTTGGTTTTTCTAGAATGTCTCTGAATGTTAAACCACCTTCACATGTCTTGATTATCATTCATTTTGCTGAAATTATGTTCGTATATTTGTGACAGAAACAGTCCACGAAAGCAAAGGTCATTTAGGCTGGAAATGATTTGTTAAGTGAGTCAGTTGCTAAGGCTTATACTTCAGTCACAACAGTATTTGCTGGCCTGGTGAGAAACGGTGGATGCATGTTTCAGAAGTTTCTTATGGGGCTGCCTAGTGGCTAGAAATGCTCACGGGGCAAGCTTCATGACCTGAGATCGATCCCCAGAACACACTGTTTGTTTTGTTTTTTTTGGGATAGAGTTTCTCTGTGTTGTAGTCCTGGCTGTCCTGGAACTCAGTTCATAGACCAGGCTGGCCTTGAACTCACTGAGATCCGCCTGCTCTTAACCACTGAATCATTCTTCCTGCCCCAGAAGGCAGATTTTTGTTTTGTTTTACTTATTCTTTGAGAATTTCATACAATATATTTTAATCATATTCTTTCCTCTCCCCCAGTCCTCCCACCCAGATCCTCTCCCACCTCCCTACCCATCCAACTTTATATTCTTTCTCACTCCTAAAAAAATAAATAAATAAATAGCACCACAAGATATCATGGAGTCACCTGGCACAGTGGTCCATGCCTTTAATACCAATATTCAGGGGTCAGAGGCAGGGGGATCTCTGTGATTTTGAGGGCAGCCTGGTCTACATATTAAGTTCCAGGATAACCAGAGTTACATGGTAAAATCCTATCTCAAAACAAAATAAAACAAACAAAAACCTATGGAATCATATTTGTATTGGTCAGCTACTCATGAGTACAGGGCTCATCATGTACCATCACTCCCAAAGAAAACAGGACTTCCCTTCCACCGCAGCTATGAACTGTGAACAGCGCCTTAGTCAGCGGTGGGACTTTGTGCCTACTTCTCAGAGGCCAGTTCTTACAGGAATGGATTTGTAACTAGGAAGAGACCATATAAATTCTCAGGGACCTGAACAGGTCAGACCTTGTGGGTGGGTAGCTTCTCGGGGTTAGAGAAAACAGCAAAAGTCATCCATCCTCCAGTGAAAACCCTAGGTATCTGTGTTCAAAGCTTACAGGAAAAAGGCATGTCAGGTGGGGTTATCTGAGGACTTTACGGTACCCTGTGCCCTGTCATAGTAGGCATGGCAAAGTTTCACTTAGAAGAGAGACAGCAAAGCATGAAAAACCTATTGTAGTTTGGGGGAAGGGCAGGCCTCCAGTCTGCCAGGATGAAGTCTGAGTGACCGGAGTATATGCAGTCAAGATAGCTCACAACCTCTCTGGCCAGCAAGACGAAGAGCATCCCTTGGACGCTGGGTGTTGCCATGGAGGTAAAGGTCACAGGCAACCTTCTCCAGGCTCTCAGAGGGGAGATAAATCCTAACCAGCTTCTCATCCTGCTCTGAGGACGATCTTTAGAATAATTCCTGGAGGTGACCATAGCAAGCCAAGATGCTATTGGGAAGAGCCAGAGTGGCCGTTCAGGATCTTAGGGAGACCCAACAAGTGGGGAGACGGGAAGATCTTGGGCTTCCTTGTAAACTCTTCAAAGTGGTACACATACAGATGACATCCCAGCTGCGCCTACAACAGCCTTGATAGGGGCATCTATTTTTTTAAATTAATACATCTTTATTTTCACCCTGTGCATTGGTTAGTTTTGGTCAAGGTGACATCACTAGAGTTATCTGAGAAAATGCCCCCATCAGACTAGCCTAGAGGCAAGCCTGCAGGACATTGTTTGATTGATGATCAATGTGGAAGGGTTCGGCTTCCTGGGGGGCAGTACCATTCTTGGGAGGGCAGCCCTGGGGTAGGTAAAAAGGCAGGCTAAGCAAGCCAGGGGAACAAGTCAGTAAGCAGCACTCCTCAACAGCCTCAACAGCTTCAGCTCCTGTCTTGAGCTCCTGCCCTGACCTCCCTTCATGATGGACTATAAATTGTAAGCTGAACTAAATCTTTTCCTCCCCAAGTTGCTTCACTGGTCACAGTGATTTATAACAGCAATAAAAGCCTAACTAGGACGCCATGGAAACCTTATTTCTCACATTCATTTCAGCAATTAGCACCTAACGCAGAACAGATACAGAGATAGCCTGGAGCACCTCCCACTGGATCTCCGGGGAAACATCCGAACCTAGCATCACAGAAAAATGCAAGCAACCCCGACACAAAAGCTTACACATGACCATCCATTGCTGGATGGCTCATAACAGCCCAGAGTGCTTTTAACCTGTACCGGCTGGTTCTGTGTCAACTTCTCACAAGCTGGAGTTATCTGAAAAGAAGGAACCTCAATTGAAAATGTCTCTCCGAGGTGGGACGTTTTCTTAATTAATGGTTTATCAGGGAGAGCCCAGCCCCTTGTGGGTGGGCCCCTGGTTTCTTTCTTTTGTAAAGATTTATTTATTTTTATGTACATTGATATTTTACCTTCATTTATGTCTATGTGAGGATGCCAAATCTGCTGGAATTGGAGTTATAGACATTTGTGAGCTGCCATGTGGAATGAACCCAGGTCCCTGGAAGAACAGCCAATGGTCTTAAACCGCTGAGCCATCTTTCCAAGACCCTGGTCCTAGGTTCTTAAGAACGCAGGCTGAAGTCGGGCGTAGTGATGTACATCTTTAATCTCAGCACTCGGAAGGCAGAGGCAGATGGATCTCTGAGAGTTTGCAGAGTGAGTTCGAGGACAGGCAGGGCTGTTACACAGGATCCTGGAGGCAGGAGCTGATGCAGATGTCATGGAGGAGTGCTGCTTACTGGCTTATTCTCCTTGGCTTGTTCAGCCTACTTTCTTTCTTTCTCGTTTTTTTTTTCAAGACAGGGTTTCTCTTTGAGCTCCTGCCCTGACTTCCTTTGTTGATGAACAGCGCTGTGGAAGTGGGAGCTGAACAAACCCTTTCCTCCCTAACTTGCTTTGGTCATCATGTTTTGATGCAGCAAAAGAGACCCCAAGACACACCCCAAGATCATCTCCCCAGGGGTGATGCAGATCTCCCCACAATGAGCTGGACATCAGCCATCATTGGTCATAAACGAGGGAGCTGGGGAGGGTATGCCTTTAATTCCAAATCCCAATACTTGCTTGGGAGGCAAAG